ATCTTTGATCCATTTTGAATTTATTTTTTATACAGGGTAAAAGAAAGGGATCTTCTAGTTCCATTCTTCCACATGTAGAAATCGCCTTTCCCAACATTACTTGTTAAAGATTTTTTCAATCTAAGTTTTTGACACTTTGTCAAACATTTGGTTGCTGTAGGCAGCTGTGTGGGTTTAATTTGGGATCCTCTGTTCCATTGACCAGTGTGTCTGTTTTTGTGCTGGCACCGTGCAGGTTTTGTTACTGTTGTTCTGTAATGTAGCTTTAAATCAGGTATTGTACTGTTTCCAACGTTGTTCGTATTGCTCAGGATGGCCTTGGCTATCTGGAGGCTGTAAGCGCACATCTGAATCTTAGGATTGTTTTCTCCATTTATGAGAAGATTCATTTGTTTTTAAAGAGTCTTTTTCAGAGCTGGTTTTTGCACTTCTTAAATCATTTAAGTCAGACTTGGTTTAAAGTCATCTGGGAAGCAAGGGAAAGCCACATTATTGTACCTAAACTAGCTCAATAAATTGACTTTTCTTTGCAAGAGAAGAGCTAATTTACCTTGGTGGCTGGGAGAGAAATCAGTGATTGCTGCTCAGTCTCACCAGGGAGGCAGAGAGTGCTGTCACAGGATGGACCCAGCAGCCCCTCTTGGACCATTTCTCTTGATTATGATGCTCTCCCTACTCCCTCTCACTGTGAACAGAAAATGAGCATCCACATTCCAGAATCAAAGTGGGAAACTCTCACCTTCCAACTTCTTCCTAGCCAAAAGCGTCTTGGCTACTCACAGGCAGATCCACTTGTCAATATTTATAGTCAGCTGCTTCCAGCCAAGAAAAACTGCAAGAGGCTCTGAAAGCCAGAGCCAGGATGCTGTTCTCACAATCACCACGCCCACTTTTCCGTCTGTATGTAGTAAGTGGACATCATCTAACTGGTTTCAAGGTGAAATCAGGGCCTCTCGGTCTCCCTAAGCTTCTCAGCTGGGTGTGTTGTTTTGAGAAAATGGGATGTACCATGGTTAGAGTTGGAAAGTTTGTCTTTGGTGATCTTCCTATTTTCTTGCTGTCCTAAGTGAATTTGAATCTGACCTTTGGTGGTGGAGAGTCCTGGAATCTCAGAACAGGGTGGTTCATGGAACACTGTGTCCTGGTCCCAAATTTCTTGTGTCACGGGGAATACTGTTAATTTAGCCATGACTTGGTGGGGCCTATTATAATGAAAAGGTAAAGTAGAGAGAACAGAGCTCTCAATTTTGCAGGTGTGACTCCTAGGAATCCCCTCAGAAGTCCCCTGTCAAAGAGCATTATATCATTCCATAAATCTCAACAAGAGAGTGACAAGCATAAGGTTTAGCATGAAATTGGCATGTTATCCTGTCACCTAGAAAAGGGCATGGAGCAGTGTTTAAAAATACTGCCCACTGACTCAATAGCGTGTGTCAAAGGAAACTGGCTTCTGCCAGATGCCCCTAGGCTCTCTAAGGTATTGCAGTCTACCTTTACAAATAACTGGGAATTCCTCCTCCTCTGCAGAGGTAGAAAACTCAATACTTAGAAGAGGCTGTGACCTGGGTGCTGCCTCCCACTGGGTGGGAGAACAGGTCCTTGCACTCGGAATGAGGCAAAGCCCATGGTTCTATGGCTGATGGTGACACTGCCAATGAGAGAGCTCTTGAGTGGCTGAGGTCAAGTGGAGGTTGGGGACCTCCCTTCTAGCCAGGTAGCACCTTCCTTCTCTTGTCTCTTGAAGGTGCCAAAGTGCAGGTAGAATTGGTTGCTTGAGCTGATGACTCATCTGTCTTAAAGTCTCCAAGTCAATTCTTACTTGGGCTGCATACAAATTCCTGCACCACATCCATTCTGTATTCATTGACTTTTTAAATACGCTGTTTGTTTTCCTGAGCTGCCAATTTGGCAACACCCTGAGAGGCCTCTCCTCCGATTCCAGTGCTGGAGACTTTCATCCATAACCCAAATAAAGCCCCCCCGGGGTTGTCTTTTCTGCTCCTCATACTTAGTGTAATTAGGTGGATAGACTTACTAAGCCGACTCACTTGAATAAAGGCCATTATTCCTCCTGTGAGAGCTCAGGATGAAATCAGAGCCAATAAGAGCCAGCTGTCCAGTCTTCCCACTCCCACAACCCCACGGGAGAATACAAATGAATAGAAAGAACAAAGTATGTGTGGATGGGAATCAAGAAACAATTGCACTTGCTAGGATGGTGGCCAAATGGGTCCACTTTAGAACACTGTGGAAATCACTTAATACCTTTCTGTCATCCTAGGATGCCATCCAGGGCAGGGGTAGGCAATGCGGTGTCTCACATACTCTCCCATCAGGCATAAATTCAGTCTGTATCTGCTTTGCTTTGCTGTTTGTGTGCTGGTCCTATTCAAAAGAGTCCCAGCACATAGACTGCATTTATAAATTGTTTCCTTACTTTTGGGGGGAATCTATTCTAACCTCGTTTGCTTTGGTTGCGGAAACACTCCTAACTAGATCCCTTTTAAGTAGATGCCTAATTTCCAGGGATAATTTGGAAAGGCTGAAAGTTTTTTGTTATAATGTACTATAACCATATTGACCTTGAACTTAAACTCCTAATCGAGTCCTGGGTTTTGTTTTGTTTGCTGAATATTGCATCCTAAGGATTGCTCATATTGCTACATAATATTTTCATGTTGCTTCCCTGCCCACTGGAGATGTTACAAGTGGCTGATTTACGCCTCTGATGAATCATTTTCAGTTTTCCACCTTGATAAACAACTTTAAGGAGAACATGTTCTACTTTTACCTCTGAAGTTTATACTACTTTCTTGGGATAAAGATCTATAAAGATGATGACCAATGCTTTTCAGATTGCAATGTGTATATAGATCCTTTGGAAATACTCTGAAGCCAATTCTCACTAGGTTTAAGGCCAGCCTGGGAGTCTGTATTTGTAACAAACTATTGAGTGCCACTTGGGTTATGGCTCCAGCTTTGGTCAGTCCCTTAAAGTTGGTATACTGACAGAGTATTTGTAAGACCTGTTCTACCAAAGTCATTGTGTGGGCTGGTTGTTCAGGAACTCGGCATTCTCAGAAGTATGTTCCAGTCAAGAAGGTTTGGAAAGTCTGTCATCCAGGGAAGGTGAACAGCTGAGACATATGGCCTCAACAAAAGCCTCTCAACTCGGTCATGGCTATCATTACAACCACCAGTGAGTTTGAATACTCATACAGGAATGCGTATATTCAAACTCAGACACACAGATACCTACAATCCAGAGGCAACTCTAGACTTCTGTAGACAGACTGTCTGGCAATAGGACCTGTCTACCAGCAGTTTTTTAGCTTTACCATCGAATAAAAATTATTACATGTACAACCAGGGTTGAGGACGATTGTTCGAAGCCCTCAGAGACTGATCTTAAATCTTACTAAGCTCTAACTGTGTTCTTTTTTCATTGTCTATTCTTTAATGGATACAATATGTGTATCTATTTATAGGGTGGACTTTGCTAATTTAATACTTGTAAACAGTATATAATGATCAAGTCAGGTAATTAGCATTTCCACCTCTTAAAATGCTTAGTATTTTGTGTATACCTTTGGATACTTCTGGTTATGCTGAAATGTATAGCAGAGCATTGTAGACTCTCATTACCTGACTGTGCTATATAGAACCTTAGAACCAATTCTTTCTATGTAACTGTTGCTGCAGCTGTCTTTATTCTTCCTTCCTTCCTGTTTGAGCCACTGGTAACTTGTTTTCCTCTCTGCTGTGAGGCCAAATTTTTTGGATTGTAAGTATGAGTGAAGATACATGCTTTTGTCTTCGTGCTGGTTAGTTTCAACTGTCAACTTGACACAATCCAGAACTACCTGGGAGGAGAGTCTTGGACTGAGGAATTATCTAGGTTGGGTTGGCCTGTGGGTATGTCTGTGGTAGAATGCCTTGATTGCTAATTTATGTAGGACGATCCAGCCCACTGTGGGTGTCACTACTCCCTAGGCAGGGCATCCTGCACAGTACAGGAAAGGAGCAAGCTAGCTGGCAGTAAGCAAGGATCTGTGCATTTATTCTCTCTGCTCCTGACTGTGAATGTGATGCTTTAAGTGCCTCCCCTCAACACCCTCAGCAATGGACTCTAATCAGGAACTATGAGGCAAATAAACCCTTTTTTCCTAAGTTGCTTTTTGTCAGGGTGTTTGTCACAGGAACAGAAATGAAACTGGGACAGTCTTCCTCTGACACCTTTATTTCACTGTTAATGCTCACACAATGTGATTCATCTATGTTGTCACAAGTGGCTTGATGAAAACTTGAGTTTGTGTTTACTGTATCCAGCCCCCATGATTTTAATAATGGATGTAGGACAGCTGTGGGTTATTCTGAAATAAAGTGACCATTGTTTTTAAGAGAAAGCAAGGCGTTTGTCACCACTGACTGCTCTATCAAGTCCAGTCCTTCATGACATTTTGCAGGTGCCATCCTAGAGAAGGCCAGCACTGCACACTCTATCTCTGAAACCAAAAACCTACAGTCATCCTAACCCTCTGATTTATCCTGCCTCTTCCAATTGAAGAAGTTCTTACTGAATTTTGTTCTCTGTGACCAATACACATTACTGAAAATTATCAGCATGGCCGTGTCCTTCCATCAGACCTTGAGTTCTCTAAGAACAGAGATCATAGCCTCTGTATCTTTTTCTTCCTGCATTTAGCACAGTGTCTATCTAGCATATATTAGATACCTAATATACCATTGTTGAATAAATGAATGAATGATTGAAATAAGATAGAGTAGACTTTGAGCACACACAGACCTGGAAGGTCATTCTCACTGTTGAAAGTTTATGCTAGTGTAGTTAGCAGAAGGCACAGATTGTCCACATACAGCCTAGTGCCAACATGGCCTTGGCCCTAGTGTGTGAAGATGGCAGACAGGAAGCCCAGGATGCACCAAGTTCCTGCTAGTCACCCCTTGCTAGAGTAACACCTGCTGTTTCTCTTTGGCAGTTGCCTTCTCGGGCCTCGGTTTCACAACATTCTACTTGGCCGGCAAGCTGCACTGCTTCACCGAGAGTGGGCGGGGCAAGAGCTGGAGGCTTTGTGCCGCCATCTTGCCCTTGTACTGCGCCATGATGATCGCCCTGTCCCGCATGTGTGACTACAAGCATCACTGGCAAGGTGAGTCCCTGCGCCGTCCTCACAGTGGTCCATCCCTCCCTACAGGGATGGGTGTGGACAACATGCACTGAGTTGGGAAGAATTAAGGGCCCCTTATCAGAAGCCAGAGTAGAAACTGTTGTGAAACAGAAAGACCTCTGCAAGTGAGTCCTGGCATCCAGGATGCCCCTGCTGAGAAAGATCTAGAGCTCTTCCTTCTCTTTCATGCTGAAGGAGACTTGGCTCAAGTTCTGCCAGGATGTTGGGGCCTTCAGTGTGGTCACCCTGGGCTCAGACCCAAATGTGATTTCTCTGCTGGGTCAGTCTTCAGACTTGGTGCCAAATGTTTTTTTGGCCCTCCTTTCTGTAGCAAGTTCAGCCTCCAAGGACAGAGTTTCCATCACGGAGGCTGTTCTAAAGGGGTGTGTCGAGTCCAGAGACCAATTCCAGCAATTTTCTTAGTAGCAGCAACAAGCCTGGGGTGAGGCTTACCTCTGTGGCAAGGCTAGGGAAACTTACCTCTGTCACAAATCAGGGGTGAAGTTCACCCCTATCAGAAGGCTGAGGTGAGGCTCAACTCTATCACAAGGCTAGGGTGAGACTTAACTCTATCTCAAGGCAGGGTTGAGGCTTACCTTTGTCATGAGGCTGGGGTGAGGCTTAACTCTTAAGGTAAGAATGAGACTTACCTCTACCTGAAGGCAGGGTTGACACGTCTATCATTAGGCTTTGGCAAGGCTTACCTCTATCTCAAGGCTGGGGTGAGACTTATCTCTGCCTCAAAGCTGGGGTCAGGCTTACATCTACCATGAGGCTGGGGTAAGACTTACCTCTTGGTGTCAGTCCTAGGATATTTGTTAAAACCTAAATCAATTACACAGAACAAATGAGAGATTTATTCCTGGAATATGACAAACCCTGCCATGGGTCCCTCTGCCAATAATCTATAGCCCCCAGTCAATCTGGGAGAGAACCACCACCTGTCACAATGGACAGAGAGTGGAGACAGAGGTGACATCCACAGAAAGTGTGGCTTCCAGGGACAGCAGCATCTGGGATAGTGCTTCCCCAAATGACATCCTCAGACCACCTTACTCAGCCCTGACCCCAGGCTTGGGCTTGTATCTAGGAGTGGGAGGAGTCTGGTGTGACGTCCAGCAGTTTTCATGGTTGACAAGCAAGCCTGCCTTTTCTAGTCTACTCCCAAACCTCCTGGAGCCCATGCCTTGGGAATCCATGCCTGAAATGGCGTCTTGGAGCTAGAAAAAGTGCAGGGTGTGGGGAAGTGCTGGGGCATGCTTCAGATAGGTGAGTGCTTCAGGCACCCAGTGCTCCTTGACTGTGGGAGGTAAGGAGAGAGCTGCAGGGCTGCAGCCAGAGACCTTCTTTGTTCTTTGTTTCTACCACTGACTTGGTGGGTTCTGTATGTTACAAAGCCATTATCTTAAGAAGGAAGGAGGGAGGGAGTCACTGAGTCAGTATCAACAGGGCATGTACCCACTGCTGCACTGGGATTGGGAGTGTTTTCCCACAGTCAGGTGGCCCATGTGGATAGGGAAGTTCCCATGAAGAATAATATAGACCAAATGGCAGTGTGTGGATTGCTTCTCATGTATCCCCCAGGAACTGCAGATTCCTCTTTGACCATGGGAATGATAAGCTCTGAATATTTTACAAAGCTGTATCATAGACTGAATGAAATAATGGATCCAAATGTCATTTTTAAATGCAAATGTACTATGCAAATTGGTTCCCTGTTGCTTAATGCATTGTTTCTAAGGAAGGATGTGTTGTGTTTCCCAAACAACTGAGTTGGTGGCAGATGTATTTTTGCAGCATGATCTATTTGTAAGCTGTGAATACTGAGTTGTCACTTTTACTTGACTACTTTGGATTTGGGAAATGATTACAAGCTTCAGGGGGCTCACTTGGTGGAATTCTTGCCTAGTATGTACAAAGCCCTGGGTTCAGTTCCCAACACTGCATAAATTGGGTGTGGCACATACCTATAATCCCAGCACTAGGGAGGTGGAGGCAGGAGGATCTGAGATTGAAGGTCATCCTCAGCTGCAGAGTAAAGCATATGAAACCCTGTCCCAAAATTAAAAAAAAAAAAGTTTCAGAATTGATTTTTTCCCCTTCATCTTTGCATAGTGATTGTGTACTGACAACCTGAGAGGGTCCCCTCTTGAACCCTCTATGACATTAACCTATCTTGTTGCCATTTTCTTTGTGGCTAAGTAATTGTAGCCATGGTGAAAGAATATAGCATCCAGCCATTGGATTTAGGGAATGCTGGATCCATGATGTAGCTGGTATACCCGAGGCTGGTTGAAGCCTTCAAACTCTTCCGTAGTGTTGAGCAGTAGACAGGGGCTGGTAATGCTCCAAGGGAAAAAAGCAAGAGAACTGATGTCCAGTAGTGTTAAGAACCAGATTTGGAGAGCAAGTCAAAACTGTGGTGATAGACTTCTGCAGCCCAAACGGGGCATGCATCAGTGGGTATGGGTCATTGGATGATGCAGTATCAACTCAGCTTTGCCATGATCTGTTCACTGTATCCCTGGCTCTGCCAGAGGAAGAGCAGGCCTTTCCTGTGTCAGATCCATTTTACCTGGATTCTCTCTTCATGAGGCTGCTGCTGTCTCTACCAGTTCTCAGCTGGGTGATGGAAAAATGGACTGAACTGCTAGGGGACATGTAGAGACACAGTTTCTATTGTTAGACTTTGAGGAAGTTGTGTTGGATGGCTTTAGTTGTTAACTTGACACATCTGGGTAGAGGGGACCTCAACTGAGGAATTTCCTCCATTAGATCATGTCTGTGAGACATTTTCTTGATTGTTGAGTGATGTAGGAGGGCCCAGCTCAAACTGTGAATGGTACCACCTCTGGGCAGGTGGTCCTGCATTGTATAAGCAGGTTGAGCATGGGCCAGGGGACCAAACCAGTAAGCAGCACTTCTCCATGGTCTGTGCTCTAGGTTCCTGCCCTGAGTTCCAGCCTTGGCTTCCCTTGGTGATGAACTATTTGTAAGTCAAATAAACCCTTTCATCCCCAAGTTGATTTTGGTCAGTGTTTTTATCACAGCAATGGAAAAGAAACTAGAAAAGGGGTGGATGCTACTGGCATCTAATGAATAGAGGACTAGAGGCTAAAGGGCAGGACTAAAAGTCCTACAATGCCCAAGAGAGCCCCTTCCCTAAGAAAGAGTTGTCCAGCCCCAAAGTTAGTACTGCCAAGAGAGAGAGACTGTGTTAGGTACTTTTCTGTTGTGATGACAAAATACTATAAACAAGGGAATGTATGGAAGAAAGAGTTTGTTTTGGCTTATGGTTCTAGATGGATATAAGTCTATCATGGTAGAAAGGCTGAAAGCTGAGAACTCACATCTGTAATGTCAAACAGGAAGCAGAAAGGGCAAAACTGGAAGTGGGCAAGGCTGTGCACTCTCAAACTCCACCCCCAGTGACGTGCTTCCTCCAGCAAGGCCACACCGCCTAAAGGTTCCATGACCCTCCCCAGACAGCACCACCAGCTTACCAAGTGTTCAAATACTTGAGCCCATGGAGGACACTTCTCATTCAAACACCACAGAGACCTTCATCTACCTCTTAGCCCAGCTTTCTTTCCATAGCCGGTATGAATGGGAAACTGTATTCATTCAACATTAAGTTATTTAGGGAGACATGGAGGAGCTTTCCAAGGTGTCCAGCTTGGCAAGGGCAGGGAATAAGCCCTTTGAATGCAGTATAAGTGGATCTTAGAGGCAGGATATTTGACCGAAAAATTACTTGTTTTTCTTTGGTGAACTGAGCTGTCTATCACATTGAAAATCCATGTGAGCCCCAAAGGCATCAGCAGAGCCCATATCCCTCTCATTATCCATGTTAGTTAACAACATTAATATGAGGTTTTATGACTCCATTTCAATGTGATTTGAGCAACTCTGCCAAATGTGGAAATATATCCAATTACTCCATTACAGACTCATATCTAATAAATACTCCATAATCTCAGATGGTTTTCTCTGTGGGTTGTCATTGTTTTTCTCTTATTTCTATATCCCCAGTCCACTCTCCCAATATACTAGTCTGTTGTTTTATTAAATGAGGGGATTGTAGGTTCATAGGCACAGAGATGGGGTACATGTGAAATATTTCACAAAACTTCCCCAGAGATAAAGCTAGCTGGTTCAGTACCAAGACCTCTGTGCACCTGATGCCCTCTGTGTCTCTGTGACATGCTGGCTTCTGGGTCATCTAAAAGCTGGCTCATGAATGATAAAAGTGCAGAGCCCTGTGCCTTGCAGTGAGACTCACCTGATTAGCCATGAACATGGAATATTTGAGCTCTGAAAGGTGGAATTCGCATGCTGGAGAGTCAGTGAGGAGAAAGAACAAAGCAGGCCACGAAACAGCTTTTCTTCCCTTGTGTGTTTGTGATTTCTGGTCAGGGATGCACCACAGCCAGGAGTGATAGGAACATGTATGTTGTTCCATCACTGGGAATAATAAATTTGTACACACACACACACACACACACACACACACAGCACTGCATCTGGATCCAGACCCGCCTCACAAGACTTCATGCTTGGGGTAATCTTTGAACTAACACTGGTTTCTCAAATCATGGGTTATATAAAGCATCTCTGGGTGCCTGTGGTATTTTGCTATCAGAAAGATCATCCACCACTGGATATAATACAGAAAAATGAATCTTGAAGGAGGAAATGGTCTTTTGTTCCCACCCAGACTGGAGTGAAAAGTGTCCACCACATCAGTCATAGGCGATGCTGTCTGAGTGCTTTCAAGATGGCCAACTTCGCCTTCACCCTGCTTCCCCGACTGGGATGTGAGAGAATGAACTTGCATGTACCCACCAAGCTTCAGCAGCTAGTGAAGCAAAAGCAGGCGTTTTAGGGGTTGAATACTGTGCTGAACTGTTGGATATGCCACAAAAGTTTTACCATCAAAACAGACAAGTAGTGGCTGTTCCCTCTGGTGAAAGCTTTGCATC